GTTCCTAGACAATAAACTCTAAAACATTGAACATTGTTCAATATGGGCACACTGGTGACTTTTTTTGTGACTATGAGGTTCTATATATTCTGATAAACCCAGAATATGCATAAGTGACTAAGACATTTTTATTCTTTTATGTTTGAGGCTGAGATATTTGCTTGGTGATGTTTACTAGTGAGTCCTGTTCCCTGTTGTCCTTTCTAGATCTGTACTATTTACTATAGTGGCTCTTGGGAATTTGAAACCATGAAAATACAATCTAACCTACTCTGCTAGATTTATTGACTTGATCACATGACAATAGAAGGAAGTTGAAATTTCATAGTGTGTCAAGTGACATGGCATTGGTTTTCAGTATTTTATTTGACACATGGTATCTTAAAATGCTACCTATATATTGATACAATAATAAATGCAGATTTGACTTTTTGCTGTGGATGGACAGTTTTCGTAAGCAATAGCTTTCTCATTAGTTCTTCTTTCCAGATCATCTCTACCAAGTTCATCTCCTATGTGTGTTTTGTAGTGTGACAACGATCCTTTCACCAAACTGAGCACTGTGTTCTATACTGAGTTAAACTGGAACCACGACAAGCAGAACTAATTTCTCCATTAGTGTAAATTTTCCCCTATTAAAACAAAGATTAAAATTAAAGTTTTGGATACCTCATTATTTCTGGACTGAAGTCTAAAGACCCCTATAGTCATCCCTCCATGAAATGATGTTTAGTGGAGTATCACATTTTGATAGCGCCTGAGGCATCTTTTTCTAGTAGTCATCAACTTGGTTGCTAACATTACGAACTTCAGAGATCAATATTGATGATATCTTTCATCCTACACCTTTCTCAAAGATATCAGTGTCTTTGCCTGGTAAATTTGAGGAGAGAGCCTGACTAGTTGGGACAGAGGAGGCTGAGTAGCTAGGAATGCTTTAACAAGAGTATACTGAGCACAAATAGAACAAACCTGATTAAAGCCTGAAGCATTTGCTCACCTGGGTAATGTCTAGAGTTAGCATCTTTTAGGATGCTTTCAAACATATTAATTATAAACTTTCCTTTTACTCTTTTTTAAAAAAATAACAACACAAATGATGTATTGAAATAGGAGTATCTCTTAAGAAGTCAGACATCCCATTAATTCAATTCAGCAGAATCCCAGTGAGCCTAAGCTGAGAGAAATCCCACTTGTTGCAATGAAGGTTATTACATGTAAAATCAAGTTGGTTTATTCAGGTGGATTAGGAATTTAACTCCTCAGACTTCTAGTTCTTTCTCATAAATTCCAAGGATTCCTCTGTAACATATGCTAGGCCTTTCATGTTGATGAATTGTGACATTCCCTAACTCAATGGTTCTTAACTAGGAGCAACTTTGCTTTTCTTTTTAAACATAGGGTAAGCTCTGAAGACATTGTCCTTGTAACAACTGGGAATATACTTTTAGTAGGTAGGGGTCAGGGACACTACTAAACATCCTGTAATATGCAGGGCAGCATAAGACCAGTAACAAATTTACCTAATGCAGAAAGCCTACAATTTTCACGGCCAGTCATTTGCACTCAGGAGGTATTAGACTTGTGAGTGTTGCATTGGGCTTTCTTTTTCCACTCTAGTCCCTTTTTTTCTACCTATTTCCCTTTGCCCTTTTACATTTTTTTAAGTCTAATTGCTTCTACTCAATTTTGCTCTTAAAATTCACTCTTTTCTCTCTGGAAGAGCCTAACATCTAACCTAATGCCATTTTGAAAGAGACAACGTGCCAGAACTATTCTCAGCATGGAGAAATCAATGATAATCTATAACATTCTGGGTTGATAGGAAGCCAGAGTTCAATTCCTTGCCCTGGTTTGAAGTGGAGTTTCCAATGAAAATTAGAATTGGGGTGAGGGTCAGAATCAAAAGCATTCAAGGCAACTCTTACATCAAAATGGCAGTTTGTCAACAGGTATGCTCAACTTAGTTAATTGTTGGAATGCTATGGTTGGCTCACCAAAATTTATTTGACATGTGTTAGAAACTATTGAGAGATTTAATGCAAAATCACAGTTCAAGGGGAAGCTCCCTGTGCTGCTTCATGGTGTTATCCACAGTGCTTCCTATATGGTAGATTTTCCAGGGCAAATGATTGATAGTGGGAACAGCTGTGTGGTTCCAACATAGCCTATTGGCTGCAATACCAGAGTGTTTTCTGAATTACATGTTTGTGGTTCATGTCTTCCCTGTTTCCCTGTAGAGTCAGAGCTCAAATGAGCTGTGAGAAGACAAAAGATCTTTATTTTGCTCTACCACAGGTTCTCTTTGCTAATTTCTTTATACTATTATGAGGGTCGTATAGGGGTCCTCTACTTTTCCCCAAAACGTTTTTGTGGCAAGATTAAGAATGATTTGTGTGTGTGTGTGTGTGTGTGTGTGTGTGTGTGTGTGTGTGTGTGTGTGTGTGTATGTGTGTGTGTGTGTGTGTGTGCATGTGTGTGTGTGTGTGTGTGTGTGTGTGTGTGTGTGTGTGTGTATGTTATGGGTGAGTCTTCCCATGTAAGTTCGTTTAAAAGTTGATAACAGAGATTGATATCAGGATGTATTTCCCAACTTATTCATTAGTTCTAGAAACATTTCTATTAATTCATTGGAATTTTCAATGTGTTTTGGTCGTATTCACCCCCCAACTCCTTTCCTTTATTCCTCCCAGATTCACTCCCACATCACTGCCGTACCCAACTTCATGTCTATAATTTATTTATTTGCATTTAATAACCCATTGACTTCAGTTTGCACTGTCCATATATTTCAGGGTGTGAAGGCCTGTACTGGAGTGTTGTTGACCTACCTCAGGTCACACCCTTAAAGTAAATTGACTCTGTCCTATGAGAGACATCATCTTAGTTTTAAAGACAAGATCTCTCACTGAATCAGGACTCACAGTTTTGACCATGCTGGCTGATCAGTAAAAATACTACACCCACCTCTCTTTTTATTATTATTTTATTTTTAGCATGTGCTGTATGAATACATGTTCACATATGTATGGAAGCATGTTTATGTTCACAAGCTTGTTGAGGTCCAAGGTTGATGGTAGGTATCCCCCCTCAATCTCTTTCACTCTTTTTGTTGAGGTAGGATTTTTTCAAAGCTAGTCTAGCTAGGCAGCTTGTTCTGAGGACTTCCTGTCTCAGCCTTCTGAGTACTGAATTTGCAGGCAGGCTACCATGCTGCCTGGCATTTATGTAGGTGCTGGAGGGATCTGAACTCAGGTCTTCAGGATTATGCAATAAGCATTTCACTGCCTTGGTTATCTTCCTAGGTTCTAGATGATTTTATTTTAGTAATGTTATTTTGGAGGCTGGAAGTTTTCTTAAATCATCTCCCCATTTTTTTTAATCTATCAGAAAAGTTGGCATTTAAATTACACATTTTGTAGATATTTCAATTAATTGAACTACTCTAATTTTTTTATCATCTGAGTTTTTTTCTTGAGCATCTACTATTACTATTACTTTAAAACTACTGAACAAATTAATTATAATGGAGAAAAAAACTAGTTTTGCCTCCAGTGATAAAGACAACCCAAAATATATAAGGTAACTAAGAGGCAGATGTCCTAGAACATAAGAATAATCAGAGCACACATAATTAATTGATGATTAATTTTGAAAGCATAAGATTGTTTAGTTGGTAAGGAATAGAATATATTCTTTTAAAGGGGGTTTTTAGAAGTGAGTTTGGAAGCAAAAAAGACATTCACTAAAACAGAATTTTTTAAATACTTATTTTTTTTTAAAGTTTTATTTTGGAAACTTCAAGCAAGTATGGTGGCAAGGTGGACAAAAAAAAATGCATGGCAAGACCCTATCAGCCCACTCTCTAGATTCAGCAACTAGCACCATTCTGAATATTCCCTCAGCTGGCTCCCATTGGTGCTGAGCAGCAGACCTATTTATAAATGAACTTCAGACTTTATGTCACGCTTGCTCTTTATGTCTACCCAGCATGGATCTCTAGAGAATGGGCATTTTCAACCATTTAATAATCCCCTGGCTACAACTAGGAAAACTACTGATATTGTCTTGGCATCATCTAATCTACACTATAATCAAATGTTCCCGCTCGTCTCTAATGCCTATGTTGGCTAGTATGTTCAAATTCGAACCCAAAGTCCACATGTTGCTGTGATTCTTAACCTTCTTGAAGCAATACCTTTTATATTAGTGGTTAACATTCATTTCAAAGTTAGAATTTTATGTAGACCCTCAGATTTCCTGCATCCTATTTTTGTGGGTTATACTGCATTGGGATTAACAAAAGAAAATGAAATCAAGCTGTCCCCATCGCCACCTTTACTATCTACATCTGTAATGTGCTTCTGATATTTTCACTTCAGTGTCTGTTACCATGGTGGATTTGACATGTATGGATTTGATTGTGGAATATAGGAACCAGGACAGTTACTGACAGTTACTTTAGAACTATGGACAGGTGTGCTATGAACCCTGCTTGAAATCTATTTCATTAAAAGTTTCTTGTTGTCTGTAATTCATTTGATTAAAGATAAATTATGGCATCACTAATATTGATAGTAAGCAGATAGCCAGCCACTCAGTAGTAATATACAAACGAGGATGATCAGATAAGGGAAAAAAAATCTGCATTTAACAATATGCTCAGGATGCTCATTATTTGTAGAATGAGAAGTTAAAATATTTCAGATATGAAAACTTATCATGAAAATATCTAATTACACCATGCAGAAAACAACACATGTCTGAAACTAATGCCTCCTTTCCCCCCACAAATACAGTACCAATCTAATAAGAACTGGAGTAACCATATTATGTTACCACAGTGCAGGGACTTGGTTGAGAACAAAATCTTGGAGAGTAAGAACACAATACATATAGAAATGTTATTTTCTTATAAATGTGTAATTCCCAAGTGACAAACTTTTAAGTCATGAAGCATTGAGTTTTCAATCTTTGTCAATACTGACTTTTAATTGCAGTATATAAACAACCCCATGTCTCCAGAAATGATGAACCTGATGGAACCAATGATAGGATTTTATGAGGGTTCAGCAGAGATCTCTCCAGACCTGCACTCTCTGGCTTCATTCATTTATAACAGCCACCCATACAGTGACTTTCCCGGCCGGACTAGAGCCGAAGACCTGAGTTCACCAGTTGGTAGGTAAAAATTTAATTCTTTCTGAAGTCATTGAAACCAACAGCTAGCAGAGGTATGAACCTGAGCTCAGAGTTCAACCATGTTATTAATGGTCCGTGGGCTGGAGTCAGATATTTCTTTTTAACTGTCGGATAGCCTCATGAAACAAATGGAAATGCCACACAAGCAGTGACTGGCCCTTTCTAACCCATTTGACCTTCTTCCTAGAGAAAGTAGCACCCCAGAGTCTCTAGCCAAGCTGCATAGACAATCAGTTATTACAGTTGCCAAAGCAGGTGTGATGGGGAGGGATTAATATATCTTCAAATCATTTACAGGCCTCACAGTCTCTGCAGCTTTTGACGAATAGGTTTTCAAATGTCACTAAAGGTAAATAGGTCAGAAAGTTACAACTCTAGTGCACAGTGTAATAAACAGGTGTAGGTGTCCCTGGGATGTGGTGATGTCATTAGCATACAGACTTGCTCTTCGGGGGTCAGTGAGTCTTATTGTTTCTAAAAGGAGAATGTAATATATGGTGAATTGAAGGTACGTGATGAGATAACACAGGGCTGCACTGTTTCTTCTGTTTTTTAAAAAAATGTTAGGGGGAAGGAACAAGCAATTTCACTGCCTTTTCTATGATCTGGTATTTGCCTCATTCCAAAATAAAAGTTTTATGGTCTTCTGTTCATGGCAGAATTAGTAAAAGAAATTACATTGCAATCAATACAGCTTTCTTTTGTGGATTTATGTTCCTTCTACAAAGCCAACTGGGGCAACACTAAAAACTAAAAGACACACAGGTTCTAATACAGCTGCTCTCCCTACATATTTCAAATTTAGCTTAGTTTCTAATTGAAAACTCACAGGCAAAATTTATAAATAAAGTAAACATCTCAGACCTCTTTGGAGGCACATGTGTGTGTCGGTTAAATGTTAAGCAAGAATGTTTGCTGTGAGGAACCACTGGGACTAGTAAATGTATAATGAATTTTGAGTCCAAATAAAACTTTCATTTCTGGAATTCTATAATTAATGCTTAGCATTGATTTATAATGTTTCCTTCTTATATTGTTGCCTAGTGTTTTCTTTCAGGAAAGAAAAACTTCAGCCAGTCTTGGGAAGTTATATATATATTTTTTTTTCTCAAAACACTGCTATCATTTTATAAAACATTATATAACAACTTACAAACCACAAGATGTTTATAGATATTGGGGAGTCTTTAGAATTCATAAAATGTTCATATTTATTACAAATTGTATGTGTACTATTCTGCATATGAGAGGGTACAAAGATATTAATACATATTATTAGGTTTCATTGAGAAGAAATAACTTTGATTGTAGAGCCAAATATCTCTTTTTTTTTCTTGTTGATTTCAAATAGTAACCACCAAGAATCAGTATATTACTGACATCACTGCTGAACAGCTGTCTTACGTTATCAGGCGGCTTGTACCATTCACTGAGCACACGATTAGCGTATCTGCTTTCACCATCATGGGCGAAGGACCACCAACGGTTCTCACTGTTAGGACACGTGAGCAAGGTACAAATGCCTCCCCTTTGAAACAATTACTTGAAAGTATTATTCATGTGATTAATCCTTTTGCTTCTTCTTCCCTATTAATTGTTCATTCTTCTTTTCAAGTGCCAAGCCCCATCCAAATTATAAACTATAAAAATATTAGTTCTTCATCTATTTTGCTATATTGGGATCCTCCAGAATATCCCAATGGGAAAATCACTCACTATACAATCTATGCAATGGAGTTGGATACACACAGAGCATTCCAGATGACTACTGTAGATACCAGCTTTCTCATCACAGGTAGAAGGAAACGCCCTGTTTCTTTGTGAACTCCTCCTCCTCTGATAGAAAGTGTGCACTTCTATCCACCTTAAATGCTGCAGGACACATTCCAGATTTTGTTGATGTGTGCTTCTTGGATATCTTAGAAGTGTTTATGGAAATAATGATACAACGTATTTCTTCAAAATATATTCACAAAAATAAAAGAGGCATTGTCACAACTATCACAGAAATACACTTAACATAAGAAATGGCACACATAGTGCATGAAAATAATTCGTTATTGAAGACTTGAACAAGTGAATTCACATGAAAATCAGCTGAGACAATTCAGTTGACTCTCTCTGTGTGTGTGTGTGTGTGTGTGTGTGTGTGTGTGTGTGCCAATTTTCCTCGCTGTGTGCCAAAAATTCTTTTTTTGTTTAAGCTTTAGGTTATTGCCTTAACATTACAGGAAAGTCCTCTGGTATTATCTGCATGGAAAACCTTGAAGCTTCAGGAATTTGGGAGACTAAGAGTATATGGAAGCTGACTGAGAGAGTCAGTCTTATAAACTATTCACATTAGCCCTATGGTCAATGGCACTTATCTAAGAATGTTATTTTTGGAAGATTTTAAACAATTTTTTTCTGTTGTCCTTTAGGGTTGAAGAAATATACAAGATATAAAATGAGAGTAGCTGCCTCAACTCTTGTTGGGGAAGGTTCTTTGTCAGAAGAAAATGACATCTTTGTGAGAACTCCAGAAGATGGTAAGAATATGCAGTGTATTTTTAATTTAAAAAGGTGGGGAGGATGATAAGGAGGAAGGAAGGAAGGAAGGAAGAAAGGAAAGGATATTGTTCTCTTGATGCCTCTACCTAATGGAAGCTTCAGTGTCTAGAACAATAAGCATGAAAAATTACATGTTTTAAAACATTTGTTCTATCCCTCCCAGAGCCAGAATCATCACCTCAAGATGTCAAAGTAACTGATGTGTCTCCAAGTGAAGTGAGCTTGAAATGGTCCCCACCTGAGAAGCCTAACGGGATTATTATTGCTTACGAGGTGCTTTACCAAAATGCAGACACCTTGCTAATAAAGAACACCTCAACAACAACCATACTTTTAAGTGACCTAAAACCTTACACCCTCTATAATATTTCTGTCCGGTCATATACTAGACTTGGCCATGGCAATCAGTCATCCTCATTCCTCTCTGTAAGGACTTCAGAGACTGGTAAGTAAGTGTTTTTGTTTGTTTGCTTAATAATTCTTAGTTATGTAGTAAACATAGTTGACAATTTAATGTTTGTATTTTTATGATACAAAAAAACCCCTCATTGTTACTTTTTGTGTAAAAGAAATTTATTCACTTTTTCTGGCAAAAATATAGGGGAAAGGCTGAGCTGTTTAAAAATTTAAAAACTAATTTCCTATATAAAGGATCTTTTAATAAAAATCCATGAATTGTTTAAATGAGGTCTTACCTTCATGTAGGAGGGAATGGGAGATGGGTTGTGTGGGGGAGGCTGGAGGGGCAGGAGGAAGGAAGAGGGGGATTTTTGATTGGTATATAAAATGAATAAAAAAAATTCTTAATTAAAAAAAATACCAAAGACTCATCCATTGTGTCTGCAGACTTTAGGCTGAGTAGCTACTTGCTATCAGTTTAGATAAACACAGAGACACTCAGAAGACTAGATTCTAGGCTGAGTAGCTACTTGCTATCAGTTTAGATAAACACAGAGATACTCAGAAGACTGGATTCCTGTATTCTAAAAGGGGTATAAAGGTAGCAATGCAGAGTTTGTGCACACATGTGTGTGATAGGACAGTGCTTGGGGAGCAGGTGAAGTTCAGCCTGGGTTTTAATGATGAGGGTAAATAGGAGGAAGAATTTTGTAGAGGTTGTTGAAAAGACATGTAGAAGTACGGGTGTGGTAGGCATGCCCCAATTAACTATTATAAACTATTCACATTAGCCCTATGGTCAATGGCATTTATCTAAGAATGTTATTTTTGGAAGATTTTAAACAATTTTTTAAAAATGGCTTTTTGCCAGAAATAATATAAGCAAAAAGCCATTTGTATCACAGTTTCAGTGGTACATGAGCAATTAGCACAAGACAAACATTTTGCCAGATAATCTTGGTTTATTGTTTCCATTGTGACATGAACACATATTGGAGTGATTACTATTAGGGCAAATCTGCAATTTATGGTAAGTAAGATCTAGTTGTAAAGTTACTCTTTCATCTGCACATTTAAATAAATAAACCTACACTGACGAGCTACTGTCTGAACTCCAGAAAATTCTCATTTTGGAAGTTACAAGTCGCCAATTATCGGCAACCCCATTTAGGGTAGTCAGATACAAATGTGAAGTTCTGTCCTTGGCCTTGAAAATCTAGAAATCTAGTAAAAACAGTATACCTCCACTGACAGTAATCTCTTGAGATTGTTGCACAGATTTACTCTGAGGAAATGTCACAACATTGTGGATACAGAATGACGGTCATAATTACCACTGCAAGACTAAGAGTGACAAAAGCAGTTCTTTATAGCTTTGAAGAGCTGCTACACCCTTGAACCAAACTTAATTGATATCAAATTACACATTGGCATGCTTTGTTGCTCTTACGAATATTGATCCTAAAGGCAGAAAATTTTTAGAAGAAGGATAATTGTTCTTTTGTGACTCGTTTTATTTACATTTGGGCTAGATTTTTTTGAATGCCTGTTATATATATGTCACAGTTTCTGTTCATGGCTTTCAAGTAAGTTATCATCTTAATTCTAGAGTAGAGTACAGCACCGAGTTATTGTTTTTCATCACAAAAAACGGAGGCTCCCAGGGGGTCATTCATTCAGCAAACATATACAATGTTCCATAATCTATTTTGCATACAGCAGTATAGAAGGAAATGTTTTCCTTTCCCTCTACAGTTCATATTAATTGGTGGGAATTTAATTGCTTAAGGCTAGCCAGCTGGCAAGTGATAAAGCTGGAATTGAAACCAACCCCATTAGTTATATAAAGTCCATTTTACTCTCAAACTACATGCTGGGAAAAAAAAGTATAAAGTGTGAGGAGGATCTCTCAGTTCACAGTGGTGGTTGGCTATCTGAGTTTTACATAGCACAAGGAAGAAAATGATTAAGTTTCACTCTATTGTGACTTTTGAAGAAGCAGGATGCTTATCAGATATTTTACTTCTTATGTAACTATCATATTGAGGACACCACAGTTTAATGATGGATTGTAAAAAAATGTTTTCTGAACATTACAGATATGTGATATTTTACTTTGTATTGGTAAAGCACGCTAATTTCCTTTCCATTATCTGTCTTATGAGCTTATTTCTAAGGCAGGGATAAGTGAATATTAGAATTTAACTTGAGATGTAATTTCAAACGAGAGAATTTCAGTTCCAGAAAATATTTAAGAAAACATGTTGAACTTTCTGCAGACAAGGCGAGGTGGGACTATTTTAATAAAATGACCAATAAATCACCACAGATAACATAAAGCTCAGGCTTGATGGTAGGTCCCCTGAGCCCCATTTCAGGGTTCATTTATTAAGCTCCTGATAACGCTATGAAATAACAATGTGGATGGGGAAACTTACCCCTGAGCTTTCTGGCCCACCTGTTCTGATGGGTCACACTAGGCTGGCTTGACAGCCTTCTGGGAAGTAGGAGACCTCACTAATGGAGGATTGTATTTAATGCTCGAGAGGCCCACTCCCCTGTAGAAGTAGTCTCTAGGTCTCCTGCACATTCTCCATCTGTTTAGAAGAAGACAGTGGAGTGACACCAGGGAGGTTTCCAGGCTCCTGTTGAGCTACCAGCTTTTGCTCCCCTGGCAGAAGAAGGAGGGGTCCTGTAAGATTCTAGGATACTATCTGAAAACGAATGAGTTCAAAACAGCTATCTGTCTATTCTTAGAATTTAATAATATCATTAAAAAATAGATCTTTTTCTTATAAAAGATCCATGCTTTCAGGTGAAGCTCTATGTACAAATGTTGTGAAAACTCATTGATAGGATAATGCTGCTAATTACAAATAAGAGAACTAATCTGTTCAAGAGCCTCATCAGGTTTAGAGAACCCGAGTTTATTTATACTTGGAAGGAACATGTGGAGTTCCAGTAGGGGAGATCAATCCAGGCTGATTTCGTGTTCATGTGCATGAATGAGTTTGGGTGTGTGTAGGTATGTGTTCATTACAGAACGGGCAGTTAACAAACAAGTTTAGCTTTCTTATGCCTAGTACAGTATGGTAATCACCAAAATAACAAGAACCAGTGAGAATGACTCCTTTAATGGCATAGATAGGGTCTCTTTCCTTCTTACCACATAACTTTTTTTATGGTAAGCCTTTAAGTAAATTTTTTGAACTGTTCTGATTGGGGGGAATAACCACTAATCAATTTGACACAGCTGTATACCAGAATTTTGAACAGAACTCTATGAATTTGTATGTATTAATGAAGAGCATCTTTAAATTTATCTACATACTTCACAATTTTATATACCAAGCATCCTGTCTTCTGACATCTTTGCAATAACATCCTTTATTATGATCACAAATCAAATTTTATCTTTTGTTTCTAGATTTTGAATAGATTCAGTTTATTCCAACTGGTAAGCACCATTGTGCTGCTGCTACCATTGGGAGTGCTCTGAACGCTAGCTGAGAAAATTCTCAGTGTATCTTCACTCTCCAAAATCAGTGAGTCATTTCTCTGCCTGAAGACTCAGCTCTGGTTATCTCCTAAGGATGAATGAATAAAATATAAAGGCTGTCATGCTGAGTTCAGGGATATGTTTTTGTCCTGATTACTGATGGTAGGCAAGCGACACCCGAGGGACACCTTTGCAAAGTGTCTTTCAAAGTCACAAGTTTTACTACATTAAAGCTTTATTTCCATAGCATTTTAAATAGCTTTACCCCTCCTTATAATTAGAGGGTTTTTTTTCCTTTTTGAAAGGGAAGGAGGAATGATGTAATTATGTTTTAATTAAAATTATTACTTTAAAAAGAGTAATATTTTTAGTTAAAATATAATTACATTGGGACTAGGCTCTGCAAATTTGCATATTGATTGGTTTTGGATTTCTGCAGTATTCTCAATTTGTTGCAAAGAGGAGTTTCCTTGATGAGGGGTCAAGATTACACTTACCTGTGGGTATAAGGACAAATGTTTACCGATAGTTGGTAGGGATTATGCTAGGCATGGTATCACTCCCGTTGAACGGGTCTTAAGTCCATTTAGAGTATTGTTGGTTACCACTAAGGTATTTGTGCCACTACTTCATCTGTCAGGTTATTGCGCTGTGACAGTTGTTGATGTACTTCATAGGCATCACAGTTGGGTAGGATTCTTGGTTGCTTCTCACCTTTTCATGGTGCCTTCTGGGACCAGTCCTAATGAATATATACACAAAACACTGCCATACCTAAGGCTCAGGGGACAGCATTGAAGAGGAAGAAATACTGTAAGGGCTAGGAGATCAGGAAGTTTACTGTTAGTTTGTATCTCCTGATAATACCAAAAATTACACCCATAAAGTCTGGCCAACATGATTGCCCAGTACCAAAATGGGTAAAGAAAGCCCATAAGGCCTCAACCCTACCTGAAGAACTAAAGGAAACCATGGAAAGCTGGGAGTGTGGAAGGTGGTCTTCTTCAGGACAGAGTAGACCGATTGGTTGTCTAGTTTGCACTGGGCAGTCCTGAAAACATACATACAGGTAGCATTATATGGACTGAACAGGTTAGGAATATATATCTATATATCTATAATATTATAATATATTATATATTCATGTGATATATTACATATGCATATATTAGTGAGAAAAAAGGCAATGAATTTGAAGGAGAGTAGAGAGGGATATACGGTAGGGTTAGGAAGGAAAAGGGGAAGGGAAAAATGTTATAATTAAATTATAATCTATAAAAAGGAAAAGTATATCATTTCTTCCCTTCCTTTTACTACCTGAAAACCATCTCATTTCTCCTTTCTCCTACTCCAATCATGCACCAAACCCTTACTCTTCTCAAATTCATAGACTATTTTCCATTGATTATTATTGTTTTACACACACACACACACACACACACACACACACACACACACACACGTATAAATATATAAATATAGCCAGTTGAGTCTATTTAGTGTTGCTTGTATCTACATGATTTCAGGGATGACCTCTTGATGTTGGA